GCCTAGATTGGTATCTTAGAATTGGCATTGCTGAGAAGTTCCTAGGTGATGCAAATGGTGCTGGTCTGGGGGCCACATTCTGAAGACCACTTCTTTGAGGTCCTTGGGAGACTGAAGATTTGTGGTACAATGATACCACATATTGAAATGAACACAAATTTTATTGGTACTTCTGCTTGCAAGTACACGTTTTGAGCTTATAGTCTTCAATAACAGAGATATCAAGAGTATTATTTTGGTTACCGTAATATCCTCCACCGTAGGTCAAGGTCATTGCGTAAATATTTCATATCTTAATAGAAAATGTATCAACATTTGTATTTACATACAAAATGTATATATTTACACTTAACTTTTAAAAACTTTTGTTGTGAAAAAGTATATAGAAAAAGTAACATGAACACCCATATTTCCACATCAACCATTGTAAATATATATGTATTTATACACATTTTTTTGATGAACCATTCGAAAGTGAGTTACACATCTTGCACCTCTTTACCATAAATACGTCAGCACACATCTCCCAATGAGAATATTTCACAACGCCATGATCACACTTAAGAAAATTAGCAATAATTCCTTAATGTTATCAAACCTGCAGTCATATTCAAATTCCCCCAGTTGTCCCAATATCTTTCCTATACCTGTTATTTTTGGTACCAGGATTCAGTTAAGTGAAACTAAATTTTAATAGACAGCAATGCGGGATGGATCTTTAGGCTCAGATTCTGGTTCTCTGTTATTTAAGATTCAGGTTTGGTTGCTTTAACAAAGGCTCGACTTAATGATGTCTGCAATAAGAAGGATGTTTGGCCAGGTGCGGTGGCTTAATGCCTGTAATTCCAGCACTTTGGAAGGCCGAGGTGAGCGGATCACATGAGGTCAGAAGTTCAAGACCAGCCTGGCCAACATGGTGAAACCTCATCTTTACTAAAAATACAAATATCAGTCGGGGGTGGTGGCGTGCTTGTAATCTTGGTTACTTGGGAGGCTGAGGCAGAAGGATTGCTTGAACCCGAGAGGAGGAGGTTGCAGTGAGCCAAGATCATGCCACTGCACTCACTCCAGCCTGGGCGAGGGGCGAGACTCTGTCTCAAAAAAAAAAAAAAAAAATTTATTTCTGTCACATTTAACCATCTTAAACAAAGCGTTATTTTGGATGGCCGTGTGTCTCACGATAATTCATGATTCTACTACTAAAGAAAGAATGACTGTTGGGGGCAGCAGTTAGCATCTCTGCCAAAAGTTCTTTTTTGCAAAAAAAAAAAAGCTATACCAAACTATATTAAATCCACTTAATAATGACATTTCTCTTTTTGAGATATATAGGGTTCATAATTGCTCTTATGCTAACTGAGCCCAGACAGATGTTCTTTTTTGATTTATTTGATACGTGTTTTATAGATGTTCTCTTTTATTTTTGTTAGGGCATTAGCTGTCATTGCTCACAGCTGACAGTGCCTTTGCCCCCTTTCTAATTCACCACTTTCTTTTTTTCTGGGCTAGGGAAGCAGGTAATAATAACCCTCTTAATAATGCTATAGTTTATTCTGTGTCTTATGTGTGCTATACTGTGTTAGGGACTTTGACATCTTACCTCTAACTTCGGAACTCTTTTTCTCAGCATTATTGAGATATGATTGATAAATAAAAATTGTATATATTCAAGGTGTACAATGTGGTGTTCTGATATACATATACATTGTGTAATGATTACCAGAATCAAGCTAATTAACATATAAATCACTTCTCATAATTATCTTCTTTTTTCTGTGGTGAGAACAAAAATCTACTCGCTTAGCAAATTTCAAGTGTCCATTATTATTCACTGTAATCACTGTGCTGTGCATTAGGTCTCCAGAACGTATTCATATTATAACTGCAAGTGTATATCGTTTGACCAATATTTCCTCATTTTCCCCATCCCTGAACCCTGGTAAGCACCCTGCTACTCTCTGTTTCTATGAATTTGACTTTTAAAAAATATTCCACATAGGAGTGAGATCATGTAGTATTTGTCTTTTGTTGTCTGGCTTATTTCATTTAGCATAGTGTTCTCTAGGTTCGTCCACGTTGTTGTAAATGGCAGGAGTTCTTTCTTTTTTTCTAACATGTGAGGTGATATCTCATTGTGGTTTTTGTTTTACATTTCCCTGATAATTAGTGATGCTGAGCACCTTTTCATATGCCTGTTGGCCATTTGTATATCTTATCTGGAAAAATGTCTATTCTTGTCCTTTACCCATTTTTGAATTGGTTTATTTGTTTTTTTGTTATTGAGTTGTGTGAGCTTCTTATATATTTTAGAGACTAATTGCTTATCAGATATATGGTTTGCAAATATTTTCTCCCATTATGTGCTTTTTATTGATTGTTTTCTTTGCTGTGCAGAAAATTTTTAGTTTGATGTAGTCCTTCCCCCTTCTTTTTGTTTTGCTTGTACTTTTGGTGTCCTATCCAAAAAATGATTGCCAAGACCAATGCCATGAAGCTTTTCACCATATGTTTACCTTCTGGGAGTTTTGCAGCTTCAGATCTTAGGTTTAAATCTTAAACTACTTTGAGTGGATTTTGATTGTATAGTGTAGATAAGGATCCTTTTTTTTTTTTTTTTTTTTTGAGTTAACCTTTATGTATAATGCTAGGTAT